ATACATAATCTTGGGTATGATTTGACACATACGCAAAAGATATTATATAACCAGTAACTATTGGGTCAGCTGGTAAGGGGACATTTCAATGATCCAAACATCAACTGACTACTCTCTCTCCATAAAAATAGAAACTGCATTTATAACAGGTAGGAAGAAAGAAAATTGTTAAGACAGACCCTACATATGTTTAAAAAAATGTGATGTTGGTGTGGTGTTAAAAGGAGGACTTTGTACTTAGTGGAGTCATTCTAGTGATTCTTTTAAAGAGAAAATTCACAGAGTTTCTAAAGACTGTGAATCTGACACTGGCGTAACCCATACTGCGCGCCTGTGATGCAGTTCAGATGTTCATTCACCTGTGCAGGATGGAGAACTTCCTTGTTTACAGAGGGAGGCTCCCACAGGAGCCTGCAAGCCTCCAGAGGCCTTGGTGTCAGGAAGGGTAAGGCTGTTCTCATGCCATTCAGGAAGGGCCCTGGGGACCGAATGGTTCCAGCAGGGACCTTTGGCCTCAGCTCTGGTTAGGGGCCAGCGTTTGAAAAGAGCACACCCATTTTCAGGAAATGAGGCAGGTTACATGGTTGGGGAAGAAAACCTGCCCACAAATGCAGTTTAACCACCGCAGGGCTATGGGGCTTTCTCATGACATTAGAAATCTGTACTTTAAAAGATAGGCTTCTTTCCTGTTATATTTTGAGTGAATAGTCCTTTTTTAAAAAAATGCTATTTCTAGTACTCACTAGACTTCTTGTTGAAAATGCCAGGCTCTGTTGTGCTAAGAGGAACAGGAAGGAAGAGGAGCACGAAGAGAACTCCCTGGGCCAGATCCATCATCAGTGTCAGCTGCATCGGGTGCTCCAACATCTGTTTTTTAACATTGCAAACCCCACGTGGCCAGAGCCATACGCCCAGGTCAAATACACCAGGAGTGCAATTTAAAGCTCTTTCTATACACTACAATGCCATGTTTTATCCAAACTTGAACCAGAATTCTAAAAGAAAAATAGTTTAGCCCTTGGGAATCATGTATAGAAAAGCCACAGGGATCAAAGGGAAAAATCCCACAGTGAAGCTACTTCCACGTGGCCTGCAGAAGCTCCTTATACAGAGGGCTGGGACTAGGGTGCTGCACCTTGGCTGCAGAATTTAAGGAGGCATTTATCCTCAGGGTTGTGCTCCTGCCTGCTTAAATTCTGAGGCCTGAGTGCCTGATTGTCTCACTCAAGTCCCTGCCCTGCTGGTAGAGCCTACACCTCATATTTTGTTTTAGAGAGGCCGATCCTTTATAAGAGTCCTGCCTTAATAACTGATGCTTGTTAAGTTATTGAGCTGGTTAAGAAAAAAACAGGAAGGTAGGTGATAAAAAAGGAATATACTAGATTTCAAAGAAATTAAACCTGTAAAAAAATTGAGTAGGAATCTATAAATTATTGCTTTTTCTTATTATTCCCCCAAGAGATAACTATAGTGCACAGGCACCTATAACCTGAATTATTAAGACAGAAAATAAAGTATTTCTTAAGGTCCTTCTGAGTTGCTCAGATATACTTGGCTTTTGGTTCCAACTTTTTGTCATAAACAAAAGAAATTATTCAATGGCCTTTGACCTAGCTCTATACTAGGCACCTGTATGCTATAAACATACTCTTAACGAAGGTATGACATGGATTTATATACACAGACCAAAAAGACAGAATAAAAACAGTTACTCAAATAAACTTAAAAAAACGGAGCCACAGTTTATACCAGTCAAAAACAGGTGTATGAGAATTCTGTGGTAGATATATGCTACTAGGCTGGAGCCTAAAGAACTAGATTCCAGATTCAAATCACTGAGTTTTGTCATATGCAAATATAGGAATTAAAGTCAGTAAGCCCTATGGTCCTTCACAGCAGAGGAGTCTGTGATTCTGCTTGAGGATCAGGCAGAGCTAAGGAATGGAGGCCAAGGGCAGAACAGCATTCAAACAGGAAGGTTTCACCAAGGAAAGGAGGAGGCAATTCAGTTCTTGATTCCTCTATGTGCCCCAACTCTTGCTTACTCTTGTTGAAATTCCCCAGGCCAAAGAACGGATAAGTATTTAATCCAAAATCCACTAAAACTGGTGGAACAACATGACCTCCTGATTCCATTTTGTCATTTCATTCAGGAGTCAATAATTCAGCAAGTATTTACTAAGCCCTTGCCTTATATAAGGCATTGCACTGTGGAGAATGTCCAAATGGGCAAGAGCTGTCTGAAGGTAAAATCTGGCAGGTGGCCTTGATCAGCAGAGACACACATAACCGAAACGGAGAAGTTCTACAGGTGGACTACAAAGTCCCAAGGTAAAAGCAAGGCTTTCTGGTTTGAAATCCTGGTCCTGGTCTCCACTTAAAGCTGTATACCATGGAAGAGGTTAATTTTTCTTCAGTTTCCTCATCCATGAAATGGGGATAATAATAGTACTTTTTCATAAAGTCCTTGAGAGGATTAAATGATATAATAGACAAAAACGCAGCTTAAAATAATGCCAGGTTCAGAATCAATACTTGGTAAGCCTTAGTTATTATTGTTATTGTTGGAGTTTAGAGCATTGAATGGTTGATTTGACTATGGAGAAGGAAGAAATATTTCATCAGGAGATAGTGTTAGAACTGCACATTGAAAAAGGGAAATGGGACCTCGCTGGTATAGCTCAGTGGATTGAGCGTGGGCTGCAAACCAAAGGGTCGCTGGTTTGATTCCCAGTCAGGGCACAGGCCTGGGTTGCTGGCCAGGTCCCCAGTAAGGGGACCGTGAGAGACAACCACACTTTGATGTTTCTCCCCCTCTCTTTCTCTCTTTGATGTTTCCCTTCCCCCTCTCTAAAAATAAACAAATAATATCTTTTTAAAAAAAGATAAGAAAAGATAGAAATGGAATAGGAAAATGGGAAACAAAGCAGAAAAGAGAGGCACAAGGAAAGAAATCCTAAGCAGTTCTGTTTGGCTGGAGTGGAAAGTTCCTTAACAAAAATGCGGTGTGAAATGCAATTCAGAGCACTGTTGTAGAATCTAAATATAAATCACTTCTTAACTTTTTTCTATGAATTTCCCTTCATCCCCAGTCATGTCCTAGAAATTAACACAGTAGTTAAAAAATAGATCAAATATTATTATTATTATAGATATGTAGTTTGCATTATATACACGTAATCCTCTGTGGGTAGGATTGTATCCTATACAGGTAGACAAGCCCAACCCTAAAACTTTATGTATTTCTTCTGACCCTTTATGGATGCAATCTGTCAAGTCTGAAAAAGCACAAAGAATTCTTAAGTCTAAGAATCAAAAAACAAGTTCCAAGCCAGGTTAAAGTCACTTAAGCCCCTGGGATTCAGTTTCCTCTTAATAAAAATACATAGTACTACTGTTACCTCAAGATGAGTGGATAGAAAAAATACTAAATGGCAGAAAGGCTATTCTAGGAAGAAAGATATTTACCAGCCTCCCTGAGTTGATGTCAGACACAAATGCAACAGTAGATATGAAAGCACTTCACGTACCTGATAAATACTGTATAAGATACAAGGTATTTTCCTACATATCATATAGAAAAAGGCAGGAACTCCAGACAAGAAGGTGGTAGTTTATGTAAAAAAAAATATAAACTTTGGTGTCAGACCGACATAGATCTGAATCTTGACTGGTCCCGTCATTTACCAGCCTGGTGACCTGAAAGCAAAACAGCATGTTCCTTTCATGCTGTTGCTGGAATTATCAAACAATGTATGTGAATCCCGTAATGGTGTATCTCCTCTCTGCTTCAGGCACTTAGAAGCATGTGCAGCTCTAATGACATATATCTTAGAAATGCTTCTCAGTTTCACCTTATTATTTTAACCCTTACTCCCCCTCCCCATTTTTGGATCATTCTGATTTTTGTTTTGAAACATGTCCCCCTTTTAAAAACAAGGCTGAGCCTAAAAATTAATCATAATTTGACCTCTTCCTTTGCAACCCACCCCCATTACATCCCTAAACAGAATCTCTTAGACTTGTTTGTATGCTCTGCTCTTAGGAAGTGCTCAACAAATGGTCCTTAAATTAATAATAAATTAAGAATACTGAAAAGTTCACAATCTAACTGGAGAATATCGAAAACATCCAAATACTATTAGCCAAATCTAGACCCAAGAAAAAGTAAATTTTGTTACTTATTTTCAGGACATTTTTAATAACAGTAACATTTTCAATTTATTGAACACGTTATAACTTTTTACATTAATCTGCATGTGATAAATCATGCAGATTTGGTCCTCACTGCAGCCCTGTGAAATTGGTTTGGCAGGTTAGATTTTCTGTCTTACACCTGGGAAAACAGACCAGCCATTCTCCCTGTGGTGCAGCTCCATTAGAACCCGAGTCTTCCAATTCCAATCCAGCGCTCTTTCTAGCCAAAACTAAAGCAACTTACTCTTTTGAAACAATATGGAAATGAGTAACAATAGCAATGTCTTCCAAGAAATCATCTATAGTAAACATAACCATCGGCTAGCAAGATCTGTTTAAAATTAGGCTCCGTTATTTTTTAAAAAAGGGCTGCATATATGGAGGACATGAGATATTTCAACTGGATTCTTGTTATCCAACCTCAAATCGAATTAGTTCCCCAAAGGACCTACACTCAAATATGAGTGTAAAGGGAGTTCATTATTTAGAGGGCAAAGATCAGAAAGCAATGTCACACAGAATGTGCAATGTAACATTTATCCTTGTACTCGAAAAAGCTATAGATACAAGGAGACCCCTGTGCCTCCAAAACCCTCCACACTCAGCTCAAGGGGTGCTTCTGGTAAACAGTTGTCCAAAGCCCACATTATTTACTCTTCTTATTTGGGACATAGGTCAAAGACTCATTGCTAATAAAATCTGTTGGCTTTTCTGATCCTCGGTCGTGATGATAACGATTATCACCTTGCTAATACCTTAGTTTTGTGTTTTGTGAAATAAAAAAAAGGAAGTTGTTACCTCTTAAAAGAATAAAACTTCTCTTTGATCAGTGGTAAGTGCTACCGGTAATGTCAGGATCACCAGCACAACCTTGGGAAGCAGGCGATTCTGAGTGTCCAAAGGGCACCTGTGGCTTGTCCAACTTGACCACAAGCCCTGCTGTCAGGCAGGAGCATGACGGGGGTGTTCAGTCCCCAGTGTGTGTAAAGTAACCCTCTGCTCATCCATCCCACAGCTTGGCTTCGGATGAGGCGGAGGCCAGGCAGCAGGCCCCCAGCTTGCAATGACCTTGACAGCCCCTCCGCCGCTGTGGGGTATGGGGAAGGATGGCTCAGGGTGAATACGGGATTGGGGTAGCTGCGTGACAGCCTAGCCTCCTGGCAGCACGGGGTTGGCTCGGGGCGGACGCGGCGCGGGGGTAGAGGCTGTGTCCGCCCCTCCACCGCCCCAGGAGGTCAGCCACGTGGGGGCCTCCCCGCTCCCCCGGAGCCTCAGCAGCTGGGGTGGTGGTCAGCGGGGGTCGAGGGACTCCTGCGGACAGCAGTTGGAGTCCTTCCGCCGCCGCGACGGGGGCGGGGGCGGGGGCGCGCCCTACCTCCTCCGTGGCCGTGGGGCAATAGGAGATGAGCACGAGCGTGGTGAGCAGGTTGATGGCGAGGCCCAGGAGGGTGATGGAGTTTGGGGCGACCCAGAGCGGGATCCACTGGAGCAGCCAGGTCCAGTAGAGCTGCAGTGGCGGCTCCAGCACCGAGATGCCCGCGGCGCTGTAGCGGTGTTCCTCCAAGCGCCGCAGCTGCGCCGCGCTCAGCGGCTCCGCCAGCGCCTTCAGCCAGCGCGGCGCCGGCCTGGCCCCGGCGCCCGCCGCCATGGCCGCCTGCGGGCCCTCGGCTGCGAGCGAGCGCAGCCAGCGCCGGGCGCCTGGCGGGGAGAGGCGGAGGGAGGGGCTCGCGGGCCCGGGCTGCGCCGCGGCCGCCGCTGGGTGGAACCCGTTCGGCCCGCCGAGGTCGAGGTCAAGCCCCGCCGCCCGCGGTCCACCGCCCGGGTCCCCGCCCCCGCAGCGGCCTGACCGCAGGCGGGGGCGGGATCTCGGAGGCCGCGGGCAGGGAGCCAGAGGGGAGCCAGAGGGGTGCGAGAGGGCCCCGCGAGGTGTCTGGGAGGGTTGTCTGGGCTCCCACTGACACCACCAGGTCACCATTAGGGCCCGCCAACAGTAACCTTATCATTGGAGCGTCAAGGACCCTGACCTCCCCACGGGCTAGGTGCACAGGTCTCTAAGGCCCAGTTCTTCTTCCGGGAGACGAACTCCCGCTGCTAACGTTCCCCAGAGGGAAGTTGCTGGCTGGACAGTTAGGAAGCTCGCTGGTTCCTAACTTGTGGTCAGTGCACAGCCACGTTCTCCCCAGGGTGCTTGTGCTCTGGCCTTTGGCCAGCTACACTGCAGGGCCATGAAGCTTCCTGCAGAGCCGGAGGTCTCGGGCCACCAGTAGGATGGTCCCATCTGTCTGTCTGAAGAGAGGTCCTGTTTGATAAACACACAGTCACAATTCTCCCCGCAAACCCCCAAGAAAGGGGCCCTTGCTGTGTATTCATTTTGGAGAACCCTTTCTGGGAGTTTGGGGGTCAGAGACCAAGGTGTTGGAACTAAAAATCAGGATTTGGAAACACTGTCTAACAAAGCGACTGAATGCTTGAAATCTAAACGCCGGGTTTGCAGAGCATGTGATACTGTTGGCAGTGGTGAAAATGGCACCAGGTGTTAGACCAGTGAAGGCAGACGGGACCTTGGCTCAGCAACCTCCTACTAGATTTCTGGCTAAGAAAGAATTCAGAGTCAAGACTCAAAACTGTTAAGAGAAAGTGTGTTGAGAAAGTCACAGAGGCAGAAGAAGTGAGGGGTAGAAGAAATGGGCTGAGGAAACAAGTTACAGAGGGAAAAGAAGGGGTCTCGGAGCCTAGGAGAGAGAAGGGTGAAGGTAATGGGGTGGTGGAGGTGGGGCAGGGGAAGAGAAGGGGTAAGGGAAAGTCTCCAAGGTTGCCCAGGAGGAGGGGAGGTAATGCAGCATCCTTTCCTCTGGTGGGAATTTTAGGAGAGTTCCAGAGGAGGATCTTAAAATATTCATCAGCTCTCCAGGTGTGTCCTTACAGGGTTGTGGGCTCCACTGATTGGCTGGCACCAGGACAGGGGCACATAGTTCATGTAGCTAGTCCTGATGTCAGCCATCTCATGGCTTGTTTGCTTTTGCTGCTTTTCTGGGCCTGGAGCTGAAACACAACTGAGGCCTAGATGTATTTGATGCAGGTCAGAAACTGATTGTCTTGGGGGATTAATGATTGAGGGCTATTCTCTGGACCCCTTGATCGTTTCCCTTCTGTGGGGGGTCAAACCCTCATGACTAGCAACTTGCCAGGCAAGGAAAGGTTTGGGGCAGAGGAAACCACATGACCAGAGATATGAAAGTTCAGAGGGTTTAGACTGTGATATGCCAGGGTAGGAAAGGTTACCCTGCAGGCAAGATCCTTGTTTTCCCAGTTTTGTCAGTTGCTAGGCCCCTGAGGCTTTCTGTCCTGGTGGCATTCCCCTTAGTGGCATTCCATACTTGGACTATTGTCCTGCTGTGCTCATGCCCCTCTGACTGCCTACCACAATACCCGTAACAATGGATGATTTTACACACACCCTTCTGTGGGCCTAGAGGATAGGGATCTGGGCAGTGTCCTCCCACTGCAGGTGGGGAGCAGCACAGTTGCCGCACATGGGATAGTTCCCCATCCCTTACCTCACAATGTACCCAATTAGACAGGGGACGCCCTGTCACAAACTCGTTATATTGCAATAAGCCTGCCGCTTGGCTTTTGTTTTCATTTCATGGTTCTGGTCTGTGTGTACTTTTCTAAGGCACAGAACGAGCTCAAGGCTGTTGTACTGGGGCGTGTCTATCAACAGACAAAGTTTGTCCTGAGATGGGTCAGCCCACCCCATTTTCACCCAGCCCACGAGCTAAGTCTGATTTTTACATTTTTTAATGATTGAGAAAAAAATCAAAAGAATTTTTTTATGACACGAAACTATATGGAATTCATATTTCAGTGCCATGAATATAGCCATGATTAGGACTTGCATGTTGTTTTTGGCTGCTCTTGTGCTCCAAGAGTGAAGTTTAGTGGTTGTGGCAGAGACCATATGGTCTGCAAAGCCTGGAGAATTTACTGTCTGGCCCTTTACAGAAAAATGTTTGGCAGCTCCTGCCTTAGAGCCATATGAGGGTGTCTACAGGCCAAACTGTTCATTGAATATACATCCCCCAATCTTTAATGTGAAAAATGATGATGAAAAACTCAGGAAAGGAATCAGTGACAGAGTCCCACCTTTAATGATGCTGGTTTTATCGACAGTAAACTTGGAGTTACCTGCTTTTTAATTTATTAGTGCCATTAATAATCCAAGAAAAAATCCTTTTCCAGGTTAGTAAATTTAACTATATTACAATTTTTGTTTTGTTAGTTTCTTTTTGCTTTTATTCCACATATGACTGAGAGCATAGGATTTTTGTCCTTTTCTATCTTAGCATAACACCTTCAAGTTCTGTCCATGTTGTTGCAAAAAACATATTTCATCTTTTTTTATGGCCGAGTAGTATTTCATTGTGTGTATATATATATATATATATATATATATATATATATACATACCACATTTTCCTTATCCATTATCTGTTGATGGACTCTCAGGTTGTTTCAATATCTTGGCTACTATGAATAATGCTGTAATGAACATAGGGGTGCAGATACCTTTTTGAATTAGCGTTTTCGTATTCTTTGGATAAATACCCAGAAAAGGAATCATCAGGTCAATTCCCAATTTTTTTGAGGATCCTCCATACTGTTTTCCATAGTGGCTGCACCAATTCACAATCCCACAGTGTATGAGGGTTCCCTTTACTTCGCATTCTCTCCAAACTCTAACTAAAAAAACTTCTCCCCAGCAAAGAAAACCAGCAACAAAAGAAAAAGGCAACCAACCAAAAGGGAGAAGACATTTGCAAATGACATGTCTGATGGGTAATTAACATCCAAAATTTATGAAGACTTCATGCACCTCAACCGTGAAAAAACAAACAGCTTGGTTTTAAAAATGGGCAGAGAATTGAAATAAATGCTTTTCCAAGGAAGATGTACAGATGACTAATAGGCACATGAAAATGTGTTCAGCATCGCTAATGATTAGGGAAATGCAAATCAAAACCACAATGAGCTATCACCTCACACCTGTCAGAATGGCCATGGTCAAAAAGACAAGAGATGACAAGTGCTGGCAAGGATGTAAGAGGGATATTTTTATCAGAATGTCTTTCCTTTGGGACAGCTGAGAGAGAATGACTGTAGAATCACCCACATGAGAAACTATTATGCTAAGTGAAATAAGCCAGTCAGTGAAAGACAAATACCATATGATCTCACCTATGAGAGGAATCTAATGAACAGAATACACTTATGAGCAAAATAGAAGCAGAGGCATGGAAAGAAACATGGAACAGACTGACAGTGAGCAGAGGGGAGTGGGGAGGAGGATAATAGTGGAGAGAAAGGGATGGGACCAGCCAAAGAACAGGTAAGAATGACCCATGGACTTAGCGGTGTGGGGATTGACTACGGGAGGGGGCGGTGGGCTGGCAGAGGAGGGCAAAGAGGGAAAAGTTGGGACAACTGTAGCAGAATAACAATAAAAAATTTTTGAGAAGAAACTAGAGAGAAGGCTGGAGCTGCAACTCTCCAACATGAATGAGCACATGAACCACTGGAGATCCTGTTACAATGCAGGGTCTGAGTTAGTAGATCTGGAGAGTGAGAGTGGGGCTGAGAGTTTTCATCCCTAACAAGCTCCCAGGTGATTCTGCTGGCCATCAGACCGCAGTTTTGAGTATCAGGGAACTGAAGCACACAGTGTTAAAAGGCTAGGGTGCAGGTACTACTCTGAGCAAGCCCCTTGAGCTCCAGGTGGAGAAGGATGGGCCAGAAAGAAGAGAGAAAGGACTCAGGGAAATTGAGGGATGAGAGAGACGAACATGACTCATCAATATTGCTTGCCTTGCTCTTTCCAGGACAAAGAAGAATGGGTGGATAGATAGATAATGTTTAAGATCTATTTGTATACTCTACTATATATTATATTTTTATTTTAGATCTTATATGTATTTTTAATATATCTTTTAATCAATCACATAAATCCAGGGGAATTAAGATCTACTTGTTGGTCTTTGGTGAAGGTGTTGGTCGAGTGCTTCCCAGACTAGAATTCTTTTAGCTCCTGACAACATGCTTGGAACACCTGTTTGGAAGATCTGGGAAGGAAAAAGAAATGTGTTCTATTCAACAAACTTGTATATTATGGAGAAGAAAACAAGATGAGGATAAATTTAATGAATATACGGAGTTGTGGCAGTGGCTACAGGCTATGCTCTCTCTCCTGACCCAGGTTTTCCTTTCTTCTGCAAGTAGGAATGCAGTTGTGGTGAACAGGATGGAGAAACCGTGACTGAGATAATACCGGTAAAGCACATGAGTAAGTGCTCTTTTCTTTTGATTGTTGATTTTCTCATTGCTGTTTCCTCTTTCTTTAGTTCCTTGTCTGGTGAGGCTATTTCTGGCTTCCTTTCTGTCTCGCTGCTCTTGATTGCCCTTCCCTCTAGACAAACAATTGTGTTAGCCCTGCTTTTCTCCCTCCTGCTTGATCTTGGCCTTCATGGAGCCCCTTCCTGCCACGTCCTCCCTATTTTTCCATGACTTTTGGTTTACTTCTTCAGGGAGTAGAGCTACTAAAGGCCGACCCTGGGTCAGAGCCCCTGCTTGCCATTATGAAGACTTAGATAATCATGGAAAGACCCAGAGAACAACTTATCTCACCAACAAACTCCTGCTTCTACTGCTAGCTAATGTTTATTGAACCCCAATATGAACTATTAAGAAGTGCATGAAAATAACCCTGTGCAGGGAGGCTCTGCCTCTTCTTACCAACCTCCATGATTACCCAGCCTGCCTCCAGCTCAGTGGAACCTCCCAGTGCAGGACTTGGAACTGGATTTACAACAACCCTCTCCAGTGGACACTCAGGAGGGGGCCTGGGATGAACAGCCCAATGGCACTTTATACTACAGCATGCAGGGGATACATTATTTGGCTCTCTCGTGTCTGGAATTTTCCAAATGGACACATGACTTTAAACCAGCTTTGATTTATTTTGCAACGTGGCTCCTTTCCAAGTACCCTTTGTCCCAATCATCCAAGAAGGATGTATGCCTTACAAAATCTGAATGAGGCTGCTTTTCCTTGCCACAGCATAGCTAGTAACCCCTGGTTGTTTCTTCTTCTTTTTAATTAACTTAAAAAATTTTAAGCCAAATTGGTGTATAGTGTCTTTAAGATGTTTTCTTGGGCTCCAAGACTAGGATAAATGTGAGAGTAGAATAGGAAGGGGAGGGAATCACTTGCTCTGGGTAGCTGTTTAAGTGCTTATCTGCAAAGAACAGAAAACGTTTTTTCTAAAGGTATTGCTTGGGAGGAGAAGGGGTTATAGGCAATTATGCACTAGAGTGCAAGGTTTTTTACCTGTTAGTGACTCGAGTCAGCCAGCACCCCAAGCCACACTCTGAGTAACCCCTTTGGGAGTGTTAAACTGCCTTGTTGACTTCCTGGTATCTTGTTCCCAGTAATCTACTCCAGATAGAAAAACATTCAGCGAGGCCAGAGATTGTGCCGGTCAGTGCATTTGGGGTCAGAGAGAACACATCATGCGTCTTTAAGGAGTGATGACAGCCCTTAGAAGCTGGGGAACTGGTCGTTCCATCGATGGGCCTGTTTGTCTAGGCCATTCCAAGTTATCCAAGTTTAAACAAAGGACTTCATAGATCTCTATATGTAGCAATAACCTGAATCCTCAGTGCATGATGATATAATGGTCTGGCTAAAATAAGAAAATTTAAAAAAATGTATAGAGTTCAATTTAGAATCAATGACTGTTGTAGGGACAATTGGCAATACTGTCTGGTATATTATTTTGTATTCTATTCCGAAGGCCAAACTTATATTTCTAGAATTCCATTCACAGCAACTTAAGTGAGGCAGGAGTTAAAGGGTTAGATCTGAGTTTGGTGAGTGGGGAGGAGGAAGTGATGGTGGTGGAGAAGCGAGAGAGATGTTGGATGGTGGAGAAGAGGGAAGGATACAAGAAAGGGAACAGAGATGGTTGGGGGCTGGCTGACCTTGAACTTTTATAATCATATACATAAATATTTAGAAGTTATAAACCAAGCTAACAGATGTTTAAGAAAATAATTGTATCCTGTAATCTTCATGAGGATATCCTCATAATGACCTGGGAGGCCCAGTTTGAATGTAGAATTATCCAATTCTTCAGAAATACTTGCCAGAATATGAGGTCTGTCTGGAAAAAGTCCAACTATTGTTAATATAATGAGAATGGTTTGCATGCCATTGATGTAACCTGGCAGCCAAGGAGAGTAGGCTGGAATGCACATGGGCATACAATGATGACTTTACTAGTAGTCAGTGGGGGCAGTAGACGCTGTTGACTGTGGTTGTGTACAATGTGGCCTTCACATTCAAAATGACAGCCTGTAGAGCAGCAGATTTTGCATTAAGCTTGAACATTCCTCCCCAGAAACTATTTGGATGATTCAGAAGCCCACAGTTATGGACAACTGGTGATTGTCTGTTTCATCACAACGTACTCACTCATGCATTACGTCTCATGAAGGGTTTTTTGGTAACACATCAAATCACCCAGGTGATTCAGCTTCCTACAGCCCAGATTTGGCACCCTGCAACTTCTGGCTTTTCCCAAAATTAAAATCACCTTTGAAAGGGAAGAGATTTTGATGGTCAATGAGATTCAGGGAAATATGACAGGGCAGCTAATGGTGATTGGGAGAACTGTGTGAGGTCCCAAGGTGCCTATGTTGAAGGGGACTGAGGCGTCATTGTCCTAAGTGCCATGTTCCTTGTATCTTCTTCAATAAATGTCTCTATTTTTCATATTACATGGCTGAATATCTTCTGGACAGACCTTGTACGTTGACCCACTGGTAGTCTCTGGTCTCCCTGTTCTTTGCATCCCAGCTCCTTCCTCCACCACACCAGGAGTGGTCTCAGGCATACACATGCGGATGCCCCAAGCACAAGTCTTTTTTTTTTATTTTTAAAAAGATTTTATTTATTTATTTTTAGAGAGGGAAGGGAGGGAGATAGAGAGAGAAACATCAATGTGCAGTTGCTGGGGGTTATGGCCTGCAACCCAGGCATGTACCCTGGCTGGGAATCGAACCTGCGATACTTTGGTTCTCAGCCCACTCTCAATCCACTGAGCTATGCCAGCCAGGGCCCAAGCACAAGTCTTATGCACAAGCTCTGATCACATCTGCATACCCCAACCTCCTGGCAAACAGGTGCCTTTAGACTACCCCTTGGGCCTCAGGGTACATGTACTGGCCACACAATTCTTCCGTTGGGGTTTAAACCCAGGGAAAAGGCCCACTAAAGCCCTAACAGTGAGCATAGGTGTAATCTATAAGGTAGGTATAGTATGGTATGTGTTCCAAGTAGGCACACCCCCTTGGTTCTATGGCCTCCCTGTCTCATGCAGTGAAATGTGGCTGGAGACGGGCTGTAATGAAGCTGTTGGAATTGCAGCAGCCCCTCTTGCCCAGGGCCAGGGCTGGTACCGAGAGGTAGAACTGTCCAGTGTTCCCACACTTGTCTAGCAAGTTGAATGCGTGACGTTGGGTTGGACCAGAGGTGTTTCTGTAGCCACCAGTGGAGGCTGAAATGTAGACACTTTTCTTCTTTCCATTTTCTAGGCACCAGGAAAGATTCTCATTGGCCCAGGACTTGAGATAGGACCTTCCAAGCAGGACAGAGAGAATTTCTCAATTACCCTGGCTAACGGGGGGCTCAGAGTCATATTTAATTTGATTTACAATAATAAAGTCATGTGGCATGTCTTATACTACATTCTAGTGTGATGCATACATGTATAATAACACATAAACCACATTATTCAGCTTCTGAAATCTTATAGTGCTGTCTTACACCTGCATACGCTATTACTCTTACACATCATAAATGCCTTAAAGGCATGAAGTGGCTTATTCATCACCGGGTTCCTAGCCGAATCCATCACGAACCATACACACATCAGACATTCAGTAAGTCACTTGTTACTATTAATAGAATGTTTCAGAATTCAATTTAAGAGTGAGTGGTTAAGGACACATACCCTTGTTTCAGTGTTTCTTGGAACTAGTGGCTTTCCCCCATTTCGCTGTTGATTTACAGGAAAACATTAAGTTTTTTTAAAAAATGAAGATTTTATTTATTTTTAGAGAGAAGGGAAGGGAGGAAGAAAAAGGGAAAGAAACCTCAATATGCAAGAGGTCAGTTCTCACACGCCCCCAAGTGGGAGACCCGGCCCACAACCCAGGCAATAACTTAAACAAAACTAGAACAAAGTTGTAGACAACTAATAGTAATGGCAGCTTCTGATATTTTTTGCTCTTTGTAGTTTTTAAAAAATATTTTATTTATTTTTTAGAGAGAGGGGAAGGGAAGGAGAAAGAGAGGGAGAGAAACATTAATGTGTAGTTACCTCTCCTGTACCCCCTAGTGGTGACCCAGCCCGCAACCCAGGCGTATGCTCTGAATGGGAATCGAACCGGTAACTCTTAGGCTCACAGGCCGGCACTCAACCCACTGAGTCACACCAGCCAGGGCACTCCTTGTAATTTCAAAATAGACTTTTTTTTCTAGTTGGAACTTTGCAGTATGGGAGTGCCCTTAATATGAGGAGAGAGATCATATGTAGAAAAATAACATTATCTGGTGCAAAATATAGTTAAAGAACGTAAGCAATGACTGGGGGACCAATATTTTGTTAATTATGCTTTATAGTCACTCTTAGGCAATGTTTATAAATGGCATAAGCAATTGAACATGGCTTGGTGAGATTGGTCAATGAGTGTTTAAATGATGCAACCAGCTCTGCTGCACTGCGCCTCTGACCCAGGAACTAGGCTGTGGGGGCCACACTGATTGGTTGTGGCAGATACAGCTCGTAGGCAGTTTGCAATGGAGCTATATGGTCTTCAAGTCTCTCTAGATAATCCAGCCTTCTTTTAGGTAAATTATCTTAGTCAATACTGTGAAAGTGGAATTTCTGATTAAAATGGGGGAACCGCACATCGACCCAAGGGCATGACCACCATCACGACTTCCCAGCTCTCAAATGGGAAGGAAGCAGAGCAGATATTATAAATGTGGTGCCAGGACCCTACGGTCACCATGGAGTTAGCTCCCAGAACAAAAGGCCAAAAGAACAAAGGAGAGAAGGTGAGAGGAGGTGTGGTGTGGAACCTTACTCACACTTCTGCGCCACTCCCTTAGCTGGAACTTTCTCTGCAGCACCAAGAAAAGGGAAGAAGCCACTGGAGGGATTGTGACCTTGCACAAAGGGTTCTCTGCTTATTGATTTTGAAAGGATGCCATCGGCAGCCCTTCAATCTGTGGCTGCTCTGTAGTCTGCACCAGCTCTCTGTCACTGCGACTGTTTTGGCAGGGCCTCTGGTGAGCTGGGCCAGGATGCAGAGCCAGTGACACTGGGGGCCAGGCCCGAGCTGGGGAGCGTGCTGGCAGCCCGCCTTTTGTCCGCAGTTCTGTCTGACCACGCAACCCCAAACACGAGAACAAATACTGTGTCATTTTATCATAAACACTTCAGATTTATTGTAACATTTATCGAATATATTCCCCCTTCTGTTGAGACTTGTTTGACTTTAAGAAGTCTTCTAGTGAATTCAAATGAGAAAAGGCGCAGATCCCCTGGTGTTAAGGAGGGTTGTGTGAAAAACACAATTCTGCTTAGAAAATCTCTTAAATCAAGAAAGATGGGTTTTAAAGATTCCATTATAGTATATTGTACTGCATTGTTTTTACTCTGGATTTAAAAAAGCATTTACAGCCTATTAAATTACACTAAAATCCCCTGCTTTTCCTTATTGTATAACTTGTTTTCTTTGTAAAGTACAGTGACAAAGCACAGACAATAAGGATCAAAACACTGACTTCAAGTGGGATTTTGTTTGCCATTTTAATTAAGCAATCCTTGCAAATGTTTTTTTTTCTTCAACATGAGGAGGAAAAAAAGAAAGATCACACTTGGGTGCCTGGTGTTAAAACAGAAAATGCTTTCTCATTGCGACCAGATTTCAAAGCAGTAGGGAGCAGAGGCAGTGCCCCGGCCCTTAGTATTCCTCAGGATTGCTTGATTGCAAGTCTCGCAAATAGGAATCAATTATGTTAGGAGGTACACCTTGCAAGAGGAGCCTGCAG